TTTTGTTTAAGTAAATCACTCTGTAAAGTTGATGAGGTTAATGTAAATGTGTACACATTTTTTGTCACCAGCCATTATGATAACATAAACTTTAATGGGAACAGAAGATTGCCCTGGCTGTTTAAATGAGTTAATTAAGCRAGACATTAGGCGACACTTTTCAGTGTCACAGATTAAACGCAGAAGTGATCGTCTGACGTTACTCCTGTTTACTTTTGTTTTCTGCCATACTTTGTAGTGGCACGGCTTCATGCGGCTGCTTTGAAGCTGCTGACATGTTACTAAGTTTCTTTCATCTATGTTTTGCAGTCAAAACTTTAAACAATCTGCTCGACACATATGCCAGTCTGTGGCTTTTCAATGCAGCTGATGTCCTCAAAGGACAAATTATGGAAACAGCTGTAATTAGTGGCTGATTTATATATTGTGTAGGACCTCAGAGACTAATTAAAAGCTTTTGTGCTCTTGTCTATTAGAGACATGCTAATTTGAGGCATTTTGACTGTGATTCACAAGAAGAAATCTGAAATTTATGCGTCTCAATTTGTGCACGCCCACTGCAATAACGAACACTCGGCATAGCTGTTTAAAYGGGAACTTGTAAACATCCAGCCTCTGCATCATTAGAGCAAATTTTCTATGATACTAAAAGGAACAGCTTGTCCGTTAGTTGATGGAGTTGCAGGAGGTCTTGCGCATTAAGCCTTGCTATTGTGCTTATGGCAGATTTCTTAAGAAAAGGGGAAAAGGAAAGCAAATTATCTGCAGGATTTTCCTCCCAAGGAGCCAGTTTCACTGTGTTTATTAAATTTTTTAGAGTGCTTCTAAGCAATGCACATTTTATCCTCTTAACAGTCAAATTACTATATACTCCAGCAATTACTTAATGTACTCTAATGAGATTTCCCCATGAAATGGAAGGATTCATTTATTTTAATGTGACGCATTCCACCGGGCAGGTTTATGCATCACGTCCCGTCGCGATCCAGGAAGGCTTTGAGTCATAAATAGTAAGATGAGCTCGGCTTCCTGATTTGCTACTTTCCCCCACAGCAACAGAGGTGTATGATTCCATGATCCAGGCACTGGGGATCCGTTCAGGGGCATCAGCAGGTCACTGCCACTATTTCCGAGCTTAGCTCTCTGCAACCAGGTATTTTCTAGGATTAGTGAAATAATACCAGGCTGACAGGCAGCATTTGTGTGACAGGCCATGGAAGAACAATATCCAGCACAAAGCACACAACTAAAACACAGAAATGATGTGAATTTACTTTATTTTTCTACAAAAAATGGCTAAAACATCACACTCTATTCAAACACATTTTAAAACATGTTTGTCTGCTTAAAGGGGGGTAGTGTGCATTGCCCASACACATAGTTCAGTTCTATATTGCAATCAAGTAACTGTAGCTGTGTTTCCATTGACCATGAAAATGCGCAAGTTAGAATTTCGCAGTGGTGGGCACCAATCCGCTAAAGYGCAAATCCGCTAATTGCGGATCTAAATATGTCATTTGCRATTTAGCGGTCTTACTAATTTTTATAATTCAKAAGCGGATGTGCGCTTTTTAAAATTAAAATGCAGGACCRCTAATAAYTAATTATCTACCAATTATCACTATCTTGAATATCAGAAGTATCATTTGATAAGGAACATCATCTGACATTACAGTAAAGAAATTCCCTTGAAGAGTTTATTGTTTTCTTGAACAGCAGAGAGAGCTTGCTGTTAATAACCAACACCATGACAAAACACAGTATTGCAACAGCACCCTCTCAGATGAACGATAAAATAGCACAAAGCTTTATCCTGTGACTAACTGTTCTGTGTTATGGTTCTGCAAATGTATATATTTATACACACACACACACACACACGCACACACACACACACACACACACACACA